GCATAGTAGCTAAAAGCAGCTTCACCCTGTTTGGTTCTGATCCGAGGGTCTACCAGCTGACTGCTTCCTAAGGATCTCAGAGCCCTGCTGGGCGTATATACTGGAAGGAGACCCAACATGTACTTTGGCCTCATGCAGCCGAGTGATTTGTAAAATAGTTGTAGTAATTTGAAATGAATTCTGTAGTTTACTGGTAACCAGACCATTGCAATAGTCCAGCCTGCTGTAAATGAACACATGAATGAGTTTCTCTAGGTCTGGTCTGGACATGAGACCCCTTGATGCATATGGTCTACTTGACCAAGACATGAATAGAATATTAAATGAGCTGCACTCTGGTCATCTAGCCTGATGGTTCTACGACACTGTGTGTGTGTGTGTGTGTGTGTGTGTGTGTGTGTGTGTGTGTGTGTGTGTGTGTGTGTGTGTGTGTGTGTGCGTGTGACCAGTGCTTACTTTGTAAATCAAATGTTCTCGGAACGCAAACACTGGTGTCAAACCAAAGATCACTAAAGGTAAAACAGATGCTGGAACACGCACGGGGGGTGGGGTGGAGGGGGTTGATAAGTAATTAAAACTGCGCACACATTTTCTAAGTTAACACACATTTCTTTTAACAACAGTAGTTTTTGCATCTTTACTGCTCCCTTGCGTCAGCCCCCTCCCCCTGCGCAGCGGCCGCAAACTCATTGATGCGCCTGCAGCCTCTCAGTGTTCCTGCTGTTCTAAACATTGAAAGAGTTATTTCATTTTCTGTTCCACACTTCTGATTATTTTCAGTGGTGTCTGTTTGTTACAACCACCAGGTAGAAAAAGGAACTTGTTTTTATTTGACTATTTTTCTTTCCAGTCTCTGTTTATTATCTTCCTGCATCTCCTCTCAATCCTAAAGAAAAACTGCTACCTGGCTTCTTATATATTCACCTCATGAGTTACCTTTGAACTGCAGTTCAAAAAGACCTACCGACCGCAAATATAGTGGAGTGTGCGCAGACCGCATCGGTGCGGTGAAGTCACCGGAGGACAAAACAGGTGATGCACTCTGCTCCGCATTAGCAAAACCCATCAGTCAAAAATAAAAGACAGAGAGCATAAAAGGATATGAGCCGACATAAACGATCATGTGTTAACTTTGTTTTTGAGGTGGCGACGCTTGATAATGTTACTGTGGCCGTGCTCAGGGCGCATCTGTCTGGAGCGCATCAACAATCAGAGCTCTGCGCCTCTTAGCTCAAAATAATTCCTGGAGAGTCCACATAGATAATGTAATATAAGTAGAACCAGGATCGTTTCGGACTCCCCTGGGTGTGTTGAGGGCTTCCAGGAGCTCCCTTTAGCTCACCTGTAATTTGAATCCTGCGTGTAGCACAAGTTTGTCGCTTGAGTTGCTGGATCCTAACAGACAGTTGCCGGAACGGTCCTTTCAAAATAAAATAGTTCCCGGATCTTGTTCTGGCAAGACCCAGCTCAAATTAAGCACTGTGTGAGACCAATATTTTATGCCAGTGTCGTGGAGAGTGGGGGAGGGTGTGTGAGGAGGTGCAGAATTGTGCACTTGCATCTGTTGACATTTGATCATAGCCTGGATATTTCCAGTACATCCTGGAAGGTGAGAGGTTCTTCAACACAGTATTGTTTTTGTTAACCATCACAAATATATTACACTGATGAAAACGAGATGCTGGCAAACTACAAATAGCTTTTGGTGGCGAGAACATGACGAGACGTGTGGGAGTTTTTGTTGATGAGACAGGACTAGACAAAAAAATAAGGTAAAAGTAACAGCGCTGCTGCAGCTGTGGTGTCTGCCCCAGCTGCAGCAGTAGCGCGGGTTATTCTCTGTGCTCACTGCTCAGCGGGAACATGCAGCGCTCACCCGCTCATCACTGCTAATTGAGGAAGTAAATGATTAGAGCTATGAGCGACGAGGCTACTTTTAAACAGATTAGTAATATTAACAAGTTCCTTATACGTATCATTGTTTTGGGCAGATAAATTAATGAAAAAGTTTTTAACAAGTTTTATCTGAACACGTTTAAGACAAACGTTTGAGAGTCAGTCACTTTCTTTGCTCCCTGGTTCCTAATAATGGGTCACATTCCTGCTTTTTAAACCAACAGTTGAAACCCATCTAATGGTGCTTGCACATTAGGGTCAGTACAGTCGGTACAGGATCGGAGTTTGGTTTCACGTCTGGGTAATATGTGCATTTTCCGTTTCGAAGGGTTAGGGTTCTTTTTTTGGACCTCCTCCTTGGAGATCCAGCTGGGACCGAGGTGACACTATGGACTAATTGGCCAGCTGAAATTAATGCCTACTGCCTCATTAGCGAGTAGGATCAGCCAGTGGGGGGTGGGGGGGGGTGGGGTTGGGGGTGGGGGTGGGGGGTCCCGCATGCGCGGACATTTGCTCAGCCCAGGCTCAAAATAAGTTTTGATAAGAGGACGAACAACTAAGTCCTTCAGGGGTACTTCTGAGTTAAAAAATGATCATGAAATACGTATGTGGAGTAACCAGGTAGGTAGTTTTTAACTGTTGCAAATCTGCAGCGCCTGTCTCCAGAGGGTTAAGGCTGGATGCTGTTAAGTAAACAGCTCTGTCTGTAGCACGGAGCTCCCGCTCAGTGGGATGGGAAAAAAGAACCGCGTGTGTGTCCTTTGAGGAGCGAACATCTCTGCACGGAGGTCTCGCCACAGCTGCTTAATGGGAGGAGAGAGCAGTGAGCATGTGTGTGTGTGTGTGTGTGTGTGTGTGTGTGTGTGTGTGAGCAGAGTTTAAGGACATGTATGGCAATGAGAGAACAGCAAGTAGATTAATAAAATAATGTGGTTCAGAGTCTCCAAGAGCAACACAGTGCACGCCCGCCTTTGTTTATCTTATTAAGGAGGACAACACAAACTTTCCCACGTGTCTTAAACTCCGTCTACGTGTTCGGGAATTTCGAGAGGGTGCTCGCTGCAGAACCACAAAGGCGGAGCTGCACCATAAGGTGGAGCTGCACCAGAGTCAGCCCCGCCCACTCACGCAAACTCAGCCTAGCCCACTGACTTCCGTTTGTTCTCCACTTTATCGCAAACTGACCTGACCAAGGGCGTCAGTTTGTTGTCAGAATTGCTGGGGACAATAACCATACACTTGAGTGGGGTTTAAAAATTGCTGGGGACAATAAAGTAGGCTAGCACAGGGGTCGGCACCCCGCGGCTCTGGAGCCGCATGCGGCTCTTCCATCCATCTGATGCGGCTCTCTGCATGTAAAATAATGAATGGATATTTAAATAAAATGCTTTATATTTTACTGCATTAATTTTACATCTGTATGCCAATTCTAAATGTAAAGATTGTCTGCGTAAACCTGAACAGGTCCAACCCGGTCTTACTGTGAGACCGGGTTGGCGCGTCACGCTTGTGCGTAATCATATCGGCACTTTATGAGCTGAAGAGGATGTGAGATTCTGGGATTCTCCTCAGACGGCTCCTGGATGTGTCGCCACATTGGAGACAGGAACAAGCACTATTCAGCCAAAGTTTCATCATCAGGGAACATTTTCTAAGTGACAAGTCTCTCTGAGAGACAGGGTTTGGAAAACTCTCGCTTCAGTGGGAGGAACCTTCCACATGCGCTCTGGTTCTCTGGGTGGCTCTGGGGTTAATCAAATTTAATTGTTTCTCGTTGCAACAATCTTCACAGGAAGGCAAAACAGTTAAACGGCAGGTTACAGATATTTCCATTTGACTGTTTATTTTGACAGATGAACTCAAGGATGTTGCTTGGTTTGAAAGAATTACCCCGACGCACACTGATGCACATGGATGAGCTGACATTTTAATCGTTAACGCACATCGCGGAGGTAAAATATTCCCATCAGAACATCAGAGCTTTATACTGGACACTGTTCAGCGCGGCTTGGAGCGCCCACGGTGGACAGTGAGCTGAAGATCTGGGGTTCGCAGCGCAGTGCAGAACGGCGCATGCGATAAGATTTCCTCCCACTGAAGCGGTCTGGAAACCCGGTCTCTCTGAGGGATGTGTCACCTGGAAAAATGTTCTTTTTATGAAATTATGAAACTTTGGCTGAACAGCGCTTGTTCCCGTCTCTAATATGGAGACGCATGACGCATCCAGTCTGAGGCAGAATAGCAGCTCAGAAAGCACCTGTAGAGACATTTGATCACGCACAAAGTTTATGTGGAGCAGAAGCGGTCGGGCCACGGCAGGTGAAACGTTCCTAGCCTACATGAAGTGTAACATTAATATGTTACTGGACAAGCTGGTCTGGTTGGTTAGACCAGTGTTTGAAGTGGAAAACACACACACACACACACACACACACACACACATACTGGTTTCCATGTTTGATGGGGACCAAAGTTAGGATCATCAGTTGTGGGGACCACCCTTTCTAGACGTTTTAGAGACTTCAAAAAAATCAGGTGAAACAACCAATGCACCATTAGCCTATACACAACTTTAAAATAATGAAATTCCAAAGTACCAACAGGACCATGTTTTATGGGGACACATAAATTAACTGATTTTCATGGTTTATGGGGACATATTAGCATCAAATTTGCATATTTCACACACATATGTGTGTACCTAGTGGGGTCCTTGAAAACATTACCTCATGGGGACAATGAAAGAAAAATGTTAAAATATCCATCAAATTTAGATCTCAAGCAAATGTTATTCTCCATTTCACAACCTTTCTTAGAAGACAAAAAAATCTAGCCAGAGGGGCTGATGGTTCAAAATGTCAATCAGCCTCAGCAAGACACTTCACCTAACTTAGCCATCTTGATGAGACTGTCTCAGGGCACCAGCGACTACATAGTTTATCCAACACATCATGTGGGAATGTGTGAGTGCATTATTAATGGAAAGCGAAGTGCTGTATAACTAACCCATTCTTATAAACCATTCATTTTACCACTAGGTCAGAGTACATGTAACCAATATAAAAATAGTTAGTCATGGAAATTAAAAGGACAATAAACAAAGCAACTGGTCAAAACATTTTAATGATGAATCACCAAGACCAGAAACCAGGATCCACAAGTCATATAACTAAAGCAGGCCCCAACTGAAAAAAATGTCATTTAAATAAATAAAACAAAGTTGATGCCACTTTCTTTCAAACGATTATGTTATCAATCTTTCTGGAGTTTCATGAAAGAAAAAATACAACTTGGCATAAAAAGATTAACTAAAGTGTCCTTTTTTGCAATGTGTATCATATACACATTAAACAATGGGGGCTGCTGACCTTTTCACCAGTAAGTCTGTCCAAGAAAAGCAGTGAAACTTGGTGAAGAACAGAAAAGCTGTCAACAGGGCCTTAATGAAGATCACTAAAGGACGAAAACCTAAAAACAGGTCAAGCAAAGCATGTTTCAGTTGCCCATAGCTAAACAGCTAAAGTAAAGAGGCTTTTTAAAAGCTATTTTTGCTGGAATTTTCTTTTGTTCGCCGTTATACGATTATAAATGTAGAACTTAATGTTTTGCCAGCTGCGACTTTTAAGAGCAACAGGTTCAGCCTTCAAACATTTCTCACAGTCATTCTTTGCTGGCACGGTGCAAGAAGTGATAAAATGATGCATGGATCTTTCCACAGCCTGCACTTCCGTAGGGTTCCAGGAAATTCTTCTCTTCACAGGAGCTATGCCTGAAAATAGTGGGGAAACAAAAAAGGCTTTTATTATAACATCTGGGGCTAGAAGTGTAACTAGCCACGGGCTAGTATGAAATCAAGATGGAATAACTTTAAGCTCAAATATGCAAAACTCTAAAAGCATACTGTTTGAACAATCTCCAATTTAAAAACTGCTTCTGACTGAAATCACATGTAGCTTTAATGTTACCTCCAATTCACAATGGGAGTGCCTGTGGTGCATTACACATCTCTGTTTCACCGTCTATTCTATGGTTTGGCACACACACACATGAAATGTTTCAGGCGCATCACAGAAACCTGTTGCTGTGCTGCTAAAGATAGCATTGGGTTCTATTTTTGTCACAATAAATTCCTGTGACGCATCAAGCTCAGCAGTATAGCGCTAGACAGGAAGTCTCACTTAATCAGTGTAAATCATCTAGTTATTTCAAAATATGACTATTGCCAAGTTATGATTCCTCAACTATTTAAACATTGTGTAACTTTTCGTTGACCAAACAGTTTATTTGTTTTCTGCAGGAGAGCACTGATGGATTTTTCAGCATGGATGTGAACATGATTATTCTGACAGTGGAGAATCACATTATTTATAATACCACAAGTCAGTTTTACAGACATCACTTGTGAGTTTTAAAAGATGTAAGAAAAGTCGTTATTTTAAAGTATTCAGAGTTAAGTCTCCGGTGATTCTATTTCATGTACTTCCCACACTGACTAAATATGGCACTCGTTAACATTTTGAAGTTCAAGGTTGAACTTGGCATTTTAATTTTAAAGTCAGAATAAATATCAGTGGCCTAAAATACCATCTTAAGATTGTGAATTTAAAAAATAAATTAAACAATAAGAGGTTTAAATGAAACATACCAAGTCCATGAAATACTTCTTTGTGGTGCATATTCCCAGTCACCCTGGACTTGGCAAATACTACATGAACATTTCAAAAGGCCATTTAAAGTTGTGGTCATTAGGATACCACAAGGTCATCTTAACACAATGGGTAAAGGGTGGGGGGTTTCGGGCTGCCTAATATAAGGGTTTTTGCTTACACGGTATTATGCTATAGCTTTTTAAAACATTTATTAGTTAACCATGTACAGCAGTGCAGTAGCACCATGCAACGTTACCTAGATAAACTATTATTTATCAGTGTGAGAAAAAAGTGTCTTGAGAGCACATGAACAGCACATTCAGAGAAAATGTGTCTCCTGCTCATCACGTGAGAGTTTACAGCCATATGTAAATCCACTTCAAATATTGATTTATTTGAGGGCAGCAGTGGCTCAGGAGGTAGAATGCGTTGGCCAGACAAGCAGATCTGCGCAAAATGGCAGCCTCTCCTCTGCCAAACCGCCCCAGGGCAGCTGTGGCTACATAGTACCATCACTGGCAGTGTGTGAATGTCAGAATGCATGAATGGAAAGCTCTTTGGGTGTCTTGAAAAGTGCTACATAAATCCAAACTATTATTATTATTATTTAAGACCTTAAGACTTTTAAGGGTCTTAATTTTTCTTTAATTAAATTGAAGACTTGACTTTTCAATACCCTACGCTGTCCAGCACCCAATGTTGCGTCAGCATATTCCTGTCTATGGTATTGCTAACCTGCAGGAAACATTGTTGACAAAGTTATATAGAAAGTAGCTAAGAGTTACCAGAAATGTCACTAGGTTGTTTGCTAGGCATTTTGGGGGAAAAAAGTCAAGAAGGGGGTCTGGAAAATTTGTTAGAAATAGTGGCAAAGTTGCCAATTTAGCAACACTGAGTAGAAGGTGCGCTAGAGTTGCAACTTTGAGTTACCTATGAGGGAGAAACAAATAATCAGCTCATTTTTTTTTTCATAATAGTTCAAGATCCATATTCTGATTGAGATGAAAATTTTATTAATTGAACAGACCTACTTTGAACATAATTCATTAATTTAGCAGTGAATATTATTGCAGAACTTCAATGTCATTAGTCACTTATTTGAACTTTGGATCTAATCTACTCGTCAACCAATGGGAATGAATCTCTTATATTCATTTGCGAAAATATATTATTTATTCATATATAATACTTATTATATTATATAAATAATAATATAACTATATTATTGTAATTAATTATGATGAGAAAGGTGAAATTGCAACACTTCTGTATTTCCTGGAATTCATTTAAGTTTAGTACTTATTTTCTCAATAAGATATGTTCAATATTTTATGTTCTTATGACTGCTGTTTCATTTGTTAAAAATGTGTTACTTTCATTTTCACACCAGCATTCCATGTGCAAAAAATGGACCATATTTTAAAAAGAAAATTGAGCAACCTTTTGAAGAGGATGGAACTTCCTCATCTGATGAGGGTGGTTTACGTTTCCTGGACGGCAGTGGTACAGTCTCATTCTTCTCTGGAGGAGGAATTGCTTCCTTTGCTGATTGGCCTGTTAGAATAAGCACAATTTATTGGTTGTTGAAATTACATCTTTCTATCCATTCATACATCCATCAACACACCCACAAACTGTGGCATTAACAACTCCTACCATCAAAATTAGCTGAGGTGTTCACTTCCTCTTGAGTCTCATCTTCCTCATCAGTGTCCAGAATTTTTTCTGTTTAAAATACAAATTATAGCTCAACTAATAAAGAAAAATAAAAAAACAAACAAATTAAGTATTTTTTATAAGAACATACCATCAGGCTCTATTTGAACCTCATCCAAGTTTTTACCATGAAACTCAGCTAATCTTCCTTGTTCCAGAGCCATTAGAACTTTGCTGATTTTGGCAAGTTGCAGAGTCTTCTCAGGAAGTCGGTAAAACTCACGATGAATTCTGATGTCGTGTCCAAGAAAGTTGGCCAGTTGATCCATCTGTGTGTCTGTCATGTTCAGGACCGTTGAAAGTGTTGCAGCATGTTTTCTAAGTCTGGTTGATGTCAGTGACTTTGAACACTTTGCCCCACAGTCTGTTGCAAAAACACGGAGGCAATCGGAGCCTCGAAAATGTGTCATGGCCTCTGGTCTTGCGAACATGTAAATGTTGTCTTTTAAAACTCCACTGGTATCTCTCTGCTTAATAAGAAGTTCCAATGAACTAAGCATTTCTTGCGTAAGGAGAATTGGAACTGGTCGTCCTCGCTTTCCCCTTGTGACAATTCTTGAGAAGTATCTGCAGAGTTTTTTCTCCACTTCAGAGAGTGCCCAGTCGATATCTTCATGTGGATCAGAGGTGTCTCTTGATAAAAATGCAGACAAAGGCATGCTAGCCACCTCTCCTTCCCTCCGGCGATTGAAAAGAATGATCTGAACAAGACAAATCTTTGCCAGCTCTGTCCAAGCTTTTGTAGATGGACATTCAGAGAGTGTATTGTACCACTTATTTTGAACAGCATTCAAATGCTTGTGCAACTTCTGGACATCCTCAGTGAATGGCATGAGAGTGGGCACATTCCACTTAGCTTCCCTGATGTTCCTTAACGCAGTAGCAGAGATCAACTCATTCCACTTTTCCTGATGAACATCAAGAAAGTCAGTGGCTTTTTTTACAAGCTCGTTGTTGTTTGAAATCAACCCCTGCGCTTTTAAGAGCTTGCTTATTTTTACCAGGGTATTCCCAAGTTTGGTTGCAAGTGATGGAATTGTATACTTGCTTGTTTCACTGTCATAACCACAGGTAAACTGAACAGCTTTGACAGTCTCCATGTAATGAGTTGGATCGATGAGATCTTCCATTTTAGTAATGGTTGTAACTTTCCGGGCATTGTATAGCAATCTTCCCATTTCTCGCATCTTCTCTCGTACACATTGTTGATTCCTGTCTGATGTACCACCTTTATTTAGAAAGTGTTGCCCAATATCAATAATGACTTTGTCATGTTTAACGATTTCTGTAACTGGGTCATGATTCATGGCACTGATTACTTTCCACATTTGCTTACTTATGTTGGAAGGTACAGGTGACGTGTATTTACACAAGGACTGTACACGGTTTTTTCCTGGTTTTTGAGTGGCAGATTTACTTTTGAGTTTGCAATTGCGCATGTGCCGCCATAACACATTTCTTGTGAAAAGTGCTTGACAATATGCACAATGCATGAAGTCATCGCCTTGTTTTTCACTTGATGGTCGCTTAAATGGCACTAGCTCTCCAGTTCCTGACTCCATAACTTCAGCATTGTGAGCATAGTTTCCTCTGTTACGAATATAATCAAGGTGATGTTTTCTTTCTTTTGATCCTGTCGGAAAGCTCAGAGCTTTAGCCACATCACATTTATCTTGATGGGCACGTTCCAGATGCCTTGCCATCTTTGCAAATGATCTGCTGCAATACAAGCAGTAATGTCGCTTGTTGTATACTCTTTTTCCAGCTTTTTTACAGTATGCCTTCACAACAATGGGTTGACTTGAACTGGGTTCTTCATCAGATTCAGAGTTTTCTAATCTACTGGGGTTAATGTTGTCAGAAATGCTGTCACAGACAAGAGTTTTTGAACTCAAGTCATTCATCTTAAAAGGATGCCTGTCTTTTATTTTGAGGCTAGAATCACTCCAGCTATCACTTTCAGAGGTATTTGGGATGAATTCCTCTCCACTTCCTGACAAGGAATCAAAAAGTTCACCAGAGTCTTCAAGATCAAGGTTTTTCATCTACAAAAAATCCAAACATAAGAGTTGTTGAGTTAAGCTACACAGTTATGTGTACAAACAAAAATGAATAGGATGAGATTTTGAAAGAGGATATTAAAAAGATCTGAATTCTTTTGGCAATAAAAGAAAAGTTATCTAGAGTCAAGCAGTTAAAAAATTATTTGAGACATAAAAAACTTACCACAACACTTTTAGTCCTCCTCAATCTTGGTATAGAAATGTCTCTCCCATTAAACTCCTCTGCAACGATCTATCAAAAGAAATTGTGAAAAAACTCGTAAAATGAAAAATACATATTTAAGGTAATATTAGAAATATTCTAAAATGTTCAGGCAAAAATCAACAAATGGCAAAAACAATAAGAAGAAAAAAGATCTGACTGCAAAAGATAAATCATTCTGAAAAACCCATTGCTGTTTATAGCAAACAGGTTGAATGGGACATGATCACAAACAACTGCTAGACACAAAACACGCAAGGTGTTTAAATGGGATTGTTGTTGATATACAAAATTTACATCAACTATGAAAAAAAATGTTTATACATATACACACACACCCACCCACATACATTCATGGGTTATTTCGGCAAAGAAGTGCTCACCAACAGATTTAGACAGATTTGTGAACAATATCCGAGTGTAAGGGTCCCTTGTGAATAAAAAAAAATATATTTTTCAGCTCTTTGTGATCAGCTCATAAAAAACGAGAGCATCAAGTGTTGCATTTATATTTGTGTTCTGTATTAAAAAAAAGTAATGGTGACTTCTGACACACCATGATGCACTTTCTGGCACTTATGGCACTTAAACACTAGCATCAGCTTTCCATGGGCTAGTCTGGGTAATTTATGTTCACGTCCCAAAAACCCGGGACTTTCCTCCACTAAAAAAACGTTTTCAGCTTTCTTCCCAAAAGTGGTCTGCCTCGGGCCGAAACCGGTCCAACACACCCACTGTTGACAGACTAGCCAGCTCTAATTCACGCTGACTATAGGGGAAGCCTCTAATTAGCAGATAGTATCAGCCAGCAAAGGCTTCACGCACGCACGCTTCATTATCATTCTGGATTCTAAGGAGTTAACGAGCTTCTGACTAAAGTCATTTTTCTATGTCTCTGCTGTGAGGAGTGCACAGACAGAGAAACACACATACACACACAAGCTGTTTTTACAAAACAATGCAGTCAATTTGCCGCATCACTGTGGCAGCTTCGGGGAGCAAAAGGTCATTTGTAAGTTGTCAGACCGTGGCGATAATGTGGCGCAATCGTGTCCTATTTATAAAAGATTCAGTGATGGCGGCATAAAGGGTATGGGGCGCTCTCAGCGCTGCAACAGACTTCCATTTATCTTGGACACAACTTGCTTTTATTGCAATTAAAGCCGCAATCAGTAATCAGTTTTTTTTTAACAGGCCGCTTCTAAAGCGGTCTGTCTTAGTCAGTCACCTGTGCAGCCTCTGGTGATCTGACCTCCAGCTCTATTGGAGAAAGGCTCTAGGAGAGCTGCAGCGCACCAGTTGCTGTCTCAGCTGATTTTGTACAAAAAGCAAAACTTGTGGCCTGGGTTTATTTTCACTTTCAACATAGTTGATGGCTGGAGATCGGCAGAAACTCTACGTCATCAGGTCACCTCCCTCTGTTGCGACAAGTCACAATCCCGGTTTATAAGACAGACAATTACCGCAATATTACAATCAAGTGAGGCGCAAATAATGCCACAAAATTGGCGCTACGGCATGCCATGTTTATAAGACACACCCTTGCGGTAATATTTGCCAGCACAGTGTGTAATGTAATAAGGGCTAAAGAGACAATGCAGACAGGCTGCCAGACAGCAAAGCGGTGCAATTTGAGGCAGTGTCTGCAAAAGCAGGACTACTCAAAATGCTGTTGTTTAATAAGGAAGACACCGTAGGCTTCTCCACGCTCTTTTTCCCCCACCCAGCTGTTTGGAGATGTGCTCATGATATCACTAATACCTTTGAGCGAATTTCTTGTGCCAATTTTGGAGATGGCCTGTGTGCTTATTACATTTGCATTCCAAAGGCAGTGTGGAACTAGCGTAGCCAGGTTGCAGCCGGCAGAGCAGTGCAAGTGCCATAACACTCTAATACAGACATCATTAGGAATCCTGGAATATATGTTGCACTTTTAAAAAGAAATAAACAGTAATGGAGAAAAAACCCTTAAGTCCTAAATATTTAAAAAAGCATGTGCTAGAACCATATTAAAATCACAAGTACCTGCTCAGGAGTGGCGCATCCACCATCACCTATGTCTGGCTGGAGGGAAGCATGGGAGGCTACCTCATCCACAGGTTTTGATTTCACACTGGTTGACTGCAAGCACAATTTACAGGTGATTAGATCATTAAAGCAAATCATTTTTTCAGGATATAAATTTAAGATTTACAGAAAATTAGCTAAAGGAAACAAAAAAAACAGTAAGAAGATGATATTAACGACTTCAAATACATTAGAAACAGGTTCATTTAAGATTTGTTGTTTATAAAAATGCTGGTTGAGCCAAAGTTTTAAATATGTGTTGTGGGGACTTCTCACACACACACTGTGTTACATAGAAGGTGTGTTGTGGGAACTTCTCACACACACACTGTGTTACATAGAAGGTGTGTTGTGGGGACTTCTCACACACACACTGTGTTACATAGAAGGTGTGTTGTGGGGACTTCTCACACACACACTGTGTTACATAGAAGGTGTGTTGTGGGGACTTCTCACACACACTGTGTTACATAGAAGATGTGTTGTGGGGACTTCTCACACACACACTGTGTTACATAGAAGGTGTGTTGTGGGGACTTCTCACACACACTGTGTTACATAGAAGGTGTGTTGTGGGGACGTCGTGGATGCTCAGAATCCTGCTCCAGTTGGCAGACTTTAAAATGACTTTGAACATTAAACCTTCTTTCACATTTGTATCTCCAACCAAACTTCTAAATGCAATGATTTAAAAAATGTAGGTGGACCATCTTTAATTCTTAAGACCAGCAAACCTTCATCAGCGTCACACAGCTCTAACGCAGACGTGATGGGGACTCCTGACACACTGTGTTGCACTTTTAGGAGTAATATCAATTGTCATGGAGAAGAAAACCTTTATGTTCTAAATAAGTGGAAAATCACCTGCCAGTGTCAACCTAGAACCATATTAAAATCACAAGTACCTGCTCAGGAGTGGTGCATCTACCATCACCTCTCAGCATGTCTGGCTGGAGGGAAGCATGGGAGGTTTCTTCATCCACAGGTTTTGATTTCACACTGGTTGACTGCAAGCACAATTTACAGGTGATTAGATCATTAAAACAAATCATTTTTCAGGATATAATTTAAGATTTACAGTAAATTAGCAGGAGAATAAAAAGATACTAACAAGATGATATTAGCGACATCAAATACAATCGAAAGAAACAGGTTCCTTCAAAACTCCTTGTTTATAAAAAATGCTGGCTGAGTCAGTTTTAAATATTAAGTGTTACAGGGACTTCTCACACACACTGTGTTACATAGAAGGTGTGTTGTGGGGACTTCTCACACACACTGTGTTACATAGAAGGTGTGTTGTGGGGACTTCACACACACACTGTGTTACATAGAAGGTGTGTTGTGGGGACTTCTCACACACACACTGTGTTACATAGAAGGTGTGTTGTGGGGACTTCGCGCACACACACACACTGTGTTACATAGAAGGTGTGTTGTGGGGACGTCGTAGATGCTCAGAATCCTGCTCCAGTAGGCAGACTTTAAAATGACTTTGAACATTAAACCTTCTTTCACATTTGTATCTCCAACCAAACTTCTAAATGCAATGATTTAAAAAATGTAGGTGGACCATCTTTAATTCTTAAGACCAGCAAACCTTCATCAGCATCACACAGCTCTAACGCAGACGTGATGGGGACTCCTGACACACTGTGTTGCACTTTTAGGAGTAATATCAATTGTCATGGAGAAGAAAACCTTTATGTTCTAAATAAGTGGAAAATCACCTGCCAGTGTCAACCTAGAACCATATTAAAATCACAAGTACCTGCTCAGGAGTGGTGCATCTACCATCACCTCTCAGCATGTCTGGCTGGAGGGAAGCATGGGAGGTTTCTTCATCCACAGGTTTTGATTTCACACTGGTTGACTGCAAGCACAATTTACAGGTGATTAGATCATTAAAACAAATCATTTTTCAGGATATAATTTAAGATTTACAGTAAATTAGCAGGAGAATAAAAAGATACTAACAAGATGATATTAGCGACATCAAATACAATCGAAAGAAACAGGTTCCTTCAAAACTCCTTGTTTATAAAAAATGCTGGCTGAGTCAGTTTTAAATATTAAGTGTTACAGGGACTTCTCACACACACTGTGTTACTGAGAAGGTGTGTTGTGGGGACTTCTCACACACACTGTGTTACATAGAAGGTGTGTTGTGGGGACTTCTCACACACACTGTGTTACATAGAAGGTGTGTTGTGGGGACTTCTCACACACACACTGTGTTACATTGAAGGTGTGTTGTGGGGACTTCTCACACACACTGTGTTACATAGAAGGTGTGTTGTGGGGACTTCTCACACACACTGTGTTACATAGAAGGTGTGTTGTGGGGACTTCGCGCACACACACACTGTGTTACATAGAAGGTGTGTTGTGGGGACGTCGTAGATGCTCAGAATCCTGCTCCAGTAGGCAGACTTTAAAATGACTTTGAACATTAAACCTTCTTTCACATTTGTATCTCCAACCAAACTTCTAAATGCAATGATTTAAAAAATGTAGGTGGACCATCTTTAATTCTTAAGACCAGCAAACCTTCATCAGCATCACACAGCTCTAACGCAGACGTGATGGGGACTCCTGACACACTGTGTTGCACTTTTAGGAGTAATATCAATTGTCATGGAGAAGAAAAACTTTATGTTCTAAATAAGTGGAAAATCACCTGCCAGTGTCAACCTAGAACCATATTAAAATCACAAGTACCTGCTCAGGAGTGGTGCATCTACCATCACCTCTCAGCATGTCTGGCTGGAGGGAAGCATGGGAGGTTTCTTCATCCACAGGTTTTGATTTCACACTGGTTGACTGCAAGCACAATTTACAGGTGATTAGATCATTAAAACAAATCATTTTTTCAGGATATAATTTAAGATTTACAGTAAATTAGCTAAAGGAAACAAAAAGATAGTAAGAAGATAATATTATGTTTATGTGTTTAGCAGACGCTTTTGTCCAAAGTGACTTACAAGTGATAATCGGCATGTTGCCCTTGAGGCTAACAACAACAATAACAACAACAACAACTTGACATCAATCATGGAGAGGAGGGAACAAAGGAGTGGACGGTAGAGAGGGGGACGGGTGCAGGGAAGGTGCTAGTTAAGAAGATGCTCTCTGAAGAGCAGGGTCTTCAGGAGTTTCTTGAAAGTCGAAAAGGAAGCCGCTGTTCTGGTAGTGCTTGGAAGGTCATTCCACATTTGTGGAACGATGCATGAGAAGAGTCTGGATTGTCCTGAGCGTGGTGTAGGCACTGCTAGCCGACCATCCTGTGATGACCGGAGCAGCCGGGCCGAGACGTAAGCCTTTGCAAGAGGATTCAGGTAGATGGGAGCCGTACCATATCAGACTTTGTATGCTAGTGTTAGCAATTTGAACTTGATGCGTGCTGCTAGCGGTAGCCAGTGGAGCTCAATGAACAGAGGGGTGACGTGTGCCGTTTTTGGCTGATTGAAGACCAGACGCGCCGCTGCGTTCTGGACCATTTGAAGAGGTCTCACAGTACAGCCTGAAAGACCAGTTAGAAGGGCGTTGCAGTAATGGAGGTGGGAGATGACAGTAGATTGCACCAGGAGCTGGGTGGCATGTTGTGTTAGGTATGGTCTGATCTTTCGTATGTTATACAGCGTGAAGGGGCATGAACGAGCAACAGAGGCAACGTGATCTATAAAGGTCAGGTGTTCATCAATCAATATTAGCGACTTCAAATACATTAGAAAGAAATAGGTTCATTTAATATTCGTTTTTTATAAAACTGCTGGTTGAGTCAAAGTTTTAAATATTATGTGTTATAGGGAAATCGCGCACACACACACACTGTGTTACATAGAAGGTGTGTTGTGGGGACTTCGCGCACACACACACTGTGTTACATAGAAGGTGTGTTGTGGGGACGTCGTAGATGCTCAGAATCCTGCTCCAGTTGGCAGACTTTAAAATGACTTTGAACATTAAACCTTCTTTCACATTTGTATCTCCAACCAAACTTCTAAATGCAATGATTTAAAAAATGTAGGTGGACCATCTTTAATTCTTAAGACCAGCAAACCTTCATCAGCGTCACACAGCTCTAACGCAGACGTGATGGGGACTCCTGACACACTGTGTTGCACTTTTAGGAGTAATATCAATTGTCATGGAGAAGAAAACCTTTATGTTCTAAATAAGTGGAAAATCACCTGCCAGTGTCAACCTAGAACCATATTAAAATCACAAGTACCTGCTCAGGAGTGGTGCATCTACCATCACCTCTCAGCATGTCTGGCTGGAGGGAAGCATGGGAGGTTTCTTCATCCACAGGTTTTGATTTCACACTGGTTGACTGCAAGCACAATTTACAGGTGATTAGATCAATAAAACAAATCATTTTTTCAGGATATAATTTAAGATTTACAGTAAATTAGCTGGAGAATAAAAAGATACTAACAAGATGATATTAGCGACATCAAATACAATCGAAAGAAACAGGTTCCTTCAAAACTCCTTGTTTATAAAAAATGCTGGCTGAGTCAGTTTTAAATATTAAGTGTTACAGGGACTTCTCACACACACTGTGTTACATAGAAGGTGTGTTGTGGGGACTTCTCACACACACACTGTGTTACATTGAAGGTGTGTTGTGGGGACTTCTCACACACACTGTGTTACATAGAAGGTGTGTTGTGGGGACTTCGTGCACACACACACTGTGTTACAGAAGGTGTGTTGTGGGGACGTCGTAGATGCTCAGAATCCTGCTCCAGTAGGCAGACTTTAAAAAGACTTTGAACATTAAACCTTCTTTCACATTTGTATCTCCAACCAAACTTCTAAATGCAATGATTTAAAAAATGTAGGTGGACCATCTTTAATTCTTAAGACCAGCAAACCTTCATCAGCATCACACAGCTCTAACACAGATGTGATGGGGACTCCTGACACACTGTGTTGCACTTTTAGGAGTAATATCAATTGTCATGGAGAAGAAAAACTTTATGTTCTAAATAAGTGGAAAATCACCTGCCAGTGTCAACCTAGAACCATATTAAAATCACAAGTACCTGCTCAGGAGTGGTGCATCTACCATCACCTCTCAGCATGTCTGGCTGGAGGGAAGCATGGGAGGTTTCTTCATCCACAGGTTTTGATTTCACACTGGTTGACTGCAAGCACAATTTACAGGTGATTAGATCAATAAAACAAATCATTTTTTCAGGATATAATTTAAGATTTACAGTAAATTAGCTAAAGGAAACAAAAAGATAGTAAGAAGATAATATTATGTTTATGTGTTTAGCAGACGCTTTTGTCCAAAGTGACTTACAAGTGATAATCGGCATGTTGCCCTTGAGGCTAACAACAACAACAACAACAACAACGTGACATCAATCATGGAGAGGAGGGAACAAGGAGTGGACAGTAGAGAGGGGGGACGGGTGCAGGGAAGGTGCTAGTTAAGAAGATGCTCTCTGAAGAGCAGGGTCTTCAGGAGTTGCTTGAAAATTGAAAAGGAAGCCGCTGTTCTGGTAGTGCTTGGAAGGTCATTCCACATTTGTGGAACGATGCATGAGAAGAGTCTGGATTGTCCTGAGCGTGGTGTAGGCACTGCTAGCCGACCATCCTGTGATGACCGGAGCGGCCGGGCCGAGACGTAAGCCTTTGCAAGAGGATTCAGGTAGATGGGAGCCGTACCATGTCGGACTTTGTATGCTAGTGTTAGCAATTTGAATTTGATGCGTGCTGCTAGCGGTAGCCAGTGGAGCTCAATGAACAGAGGGGTGACGTGTGCCGTTTTTGGCTGATTGAAGACCAGACGCGCCGCTGCGTTCTGGACCATTTGAAGAGGTCTCACAGTACAGCCTGAAAGACCAGTTAGAAGGGCATTGCAGTAATGGAGGTGGGAGATGACAGTAGATTGCACCAGGAGCTGGGTGGCATGTTGTGTTAGGTATGGTCTGATCTTTCGTATGTTATACAGCGTGAAGGGGCGTGAATGAGCAACAGAGGCAACGTGATCTATAAAGGTCAGGTGTTCATCAATCAATATTAGCGACTTCAAATACATTAGAAAGAAATAGGTTCATTTAATATTCGTTGTTTATAAAACTGCTGGTTGAGTCAAAGTTTTAAATATTATGTGTTATAGGGAAATCGCGCACACACACACACACACTGTGTTCCATAGAAGGTGTGTTGTGGGGACGTCGTGGATGCTCAGAATCCTGCTCCAGTAGGCAGACTTTAAAATGACTTTGAACATTAAACCTTCTTTCACATTTGTATCTCCAACCAAACTTCTAAATGCAATGATTTAAAAAATGTAGGTGGACCATCTTTAATACTTAAGACTAGTGTTGTCAAAAAAATCAATACTTAGATATAAATTGATACTAAAGTGGTATCTAAATTAGATATTCCATCCCTGTGGTATCGATATTATGGACTATGATACACAGCCTTCTTCAAGTACACCGACACGCACAACAGCCAGATGCCGTAAAGCAGCCTCCGGCTCCCAGACAAACAGAAGAAGACGCCGCCGCATGGCTACATTACAATTTCCCACGCGAGTTGTCTCCGATCCAAGTTTTGTCTGCCAAATAAATAAACAAAAACATAAACAGCGAATTTGGGAGGCGCTTCACAGCCCAACTTAATTAGCATACCAAGTCCGACACGTAGTTGTATATTCACGCTTATGTGCTTAAAGGAAAACTCCCGTTTATTGCAACCCGGACTTTATTTCTAGCATGCAGTACGTTTGTTTACTCACGCTGACAACTTTGGTGCTACTTGGATTCCCCGGGGTATTTAGATCCATTGGCGAATCGTCATCAGTGTATATCCATATAACGGGTGCGGACGGGCACCCATGGTGCAGCCCCGAAATAAGACATTATCTGCACCGAAACATCTCAATGTCGAAAGGTTTTGTTAGGAATCATTAACGTGATTCCCCTGTTCGTTTGTAGCGGGTCTGGGATTTCTAGGTGTAAACAGGCTAGCCGCGGCTAATCTAACCGGTGCTTTTAATGACGTCACTGCCGTGCGCCAATCTATTTTTATTAAGATTACCGGTAGATGTACCTTTGTCCTACTGTGGAGAAATTCGTTTTCTCCCTTTAATAACCAACAGAGTTGTTCAAAAGTACAGAACAAAACATATGGCATTACATCTTATGACAAAAATGCACCTTAAACAGAGTTTAAGCAGCAAAACATCACTCTGCAAATAGTGTATATACAGTGAGACAATTCATTATTTAAAGTGTTAACTTTCACCAGTTTTTGTATGCACGTTTTAAAAAATGCTGATACTTGAAAGATTCAAGCACTTTATACACTTAATTCTTAACATTTAATTTTTGCAATATAAATTGAGGAATGTTATTTTTTGAATAAACTTGTTCAATAAATTGGTGTTTTTAAATAGTATCGAAATCGAGTATCAAGTTTTTTTTTTCCCAGCATCGAATCGAGTTTGAAATTTTAGTATCGTGACAACCCTACTTAAGACCAGCAAACCTTCATCAGCGTCACACAGCTCTAACGCAGACGTGATGGGGACTCCTGACACACTGTGTTGCACTTTTAGGAGTAATATCAATTGTCATGGAGAAGAAAACTTTATGTTCTAAATATGTGGAAAATCACCTGCCAGTGTCAACCTAGAACCATATTAAAATCACAAGTACCTGCTCAGGAGTGGTGCATCTACCATCACCTCTCAGCATGTCTGGCTGGAGGGAAGCATGGGAGGTTTCTTCATCCACAGGTTTTGATTTCACACTGGTTGACTGCAAGCACAATTTACAGGTGATTAGATCGTTAAAACAAATAATTTTTTCAGGATATAATTTAAGATTTACAGTAAATTAGCTGGAGAATAAAAAGATACTAACAAGATGCTGGTTGAGTCAAAGTTTTAAATATTATGTGTTATAGGGAAATCGCACACACACACACACTGTGTTACATAGAAGGTGTGTTGTGGGGACTTCTCACACACACTGTGTTACATAGAAGGTGTGTTGTGGGGACTTCTCACACACACTGTGTTACATAGAAGGTGTGTTGTGGGGACTTCTCACACACACACTGTGTTACATTGAAGGTGTGTTGTGGGGACTTCTCACACACACTGTGTTACATAGAAGGTGTGTTGTGGGGACTTCTCACACACACTGTGTTACATAGAAGGTGTGTTGTGGGGACTTCGCGCACACACACTGTGTTACATAGAAGGTGTGTTGTGGGGACGTCGTGGATGCTCAGAATCCTGCTCCAGTTGGCAGACTTTAAAATGACTTTGAACATTAAACCTTCTTTCACATTTGTATCTCCAACCAAACTTCTAAATGCAATGATTTAGAAAAATGTAGGTGGACCATCTTTAATACTTAAGACCAGCAAACCTTCATCAGCGTCACACAGCTCTAACGCAGACGTGATGGGGACTCCTGACACACTGTGTTGCACTTTTAGGAGTAATATCAATTGTCATGGAGAAGAAAAACTTTATGTTCTAAATAAGTGGAAAATCACCTGCCAGTGTCAACCTAGAACCATATTAAAATCACAAGTACCTGCTCAGGAGTGGTGCATCTACCATCACCTCTCAGCATGTCTGGCTGGAGGGAAGCATGGGAGGTTTCTTCATCCACAGGTTTTGATTTCACACTGGTTGACTGCAAGCACAATTTACAGGTGATTAGATCATTAAAACAAATCATTTTTTCAGGATATAATTTAAGATTTACAGTAAATTAGCTAAAGGAAACAAAAAGATAGTAAGAAGATAATATTATGTTTATGTGTTTAGCAGACGCTTTTGTCCAAAGCGACTTACAAGTGATAATCGGCATGTTGCCCTTGAGGCTAACAACAACATCAATAATCATTTTCAACAGACATAATTGTAACTTAACAAAATGAACCACCCAGTGCTCTAGGATGAACACCACAGCTGTTGGCAATTTGCATGAAAGCAGCTAAAGGTATATTCCAAAACACTATTTTAATCAATCTAATCTGAATTGTATTTGTTAAGGCAAGTAGACCACATCTTGTAGTGTCTAAATATCAACTTACCTGTGATCTCCACGGGCAGTCTGCACCTCCATAATCATATGTAATTTCATCTCCTTCTTGAATGTTTTTGAGGGCAAACAAACAGAGGTGAGGACTTCCATTCACATTAACCTTTTTCATCCTGCAGTTTGGATGTCTGTGTTCATCATTTACTAGCCTCCCAAATGACCCATCCTCTCTGGAGGCATCAATGCTTGAAAAAGAGAAAATAAATAAATGAAAACAATTAAAGAAAAATTCAAGACTGTTTAATGACTCAGTTTACAATAGTAAATTATAAAATGAAATGTAAAAGACGGTTTAAATCTCACCAGCATGTTTTCCCGTGCCACTTGAATACAAAAAAAAATCCTGCACATGATGGGTGATAAAGTTTTTGTCTTCTCTCAGATTCTGCTTCAGTTATCCTATCTCCTCTATATTCTAACACAAAGTCTCCTTGGCAAAATGAACCTTTTGCAAATATACCACGACCTGAAAAAAATGAAAACAAAAACATCTGCTTGAAGGTATTCTACCGTAGACTTCAAAGCCTACTACAATAATCGTTTTACTTTTTCACCCACTCCAATACACCTGATTTGAATCAATGGGTGATTAACAGAGTTCTTTAAAAATGGAAGACCAACTGGGTAGATTAGCCCACTGCTTGTCAGCTAAAGATTGAATTGAGTTCTATTTTTGCCATGACATGTTTCTGGTATGTGTCAAGCTCCACAGTTAACAAGGCGCTAAAAGGGATCAATGTTTCATTATTCTGAAATTTCCAAATAAAAGAGTGTCGCTAAGTTACAATTCCTTATCTATGTAGACATCTCATCTTTGCCAGCAACCAAACTGCTTTGTTGCTTACTGCATCTTTGAGGAGAGCAAAGATATGTTTTTTAAAAACAAACAAGGCTCTTAGCCTGGCAGAGGAGAATCACAAGCTTTTACAAAAACAACAAAAAGGAGAAGAGATGGACCCAAATATCAGCAACTATGGAAGTGGATGGCGAGTTTAAAAGACATAATATAAAAAAAGAAGTTATTTGAAAGCATACAACATCAATTCTTCATTGATTTTGTTTTGCACATCCAACTATGTAAACCATTGCACGGCCGCTCCACATCTGAAATGAAATGGCTTGCAAGTAAACTGCTGCTGCCAAAACGCACCACAGAGGCACCCAGTGTGAATTGAGAGTTGTGGGTAAACTAGTGGTTGCTTCTGTTCACTAATTTTCTGTACACAACCATGACTTAAATCAAGGCCATTTATAAGTATTTGGTATCAGTTCTCAATATTGATAAGTACTCCTTCTCAATTTAGAAAATGTGGTATCAGTGCATCCAAATTCTCTTTTAAATTCATTTTTGATATGAACCGAAGTATCTTTACTGGTATCCCGTCAAACTAGACACTATATTCTTGTTAGACAGAACACAGTTATCTTTACCCCAACACTTACCTTTTACTTCATTGATGTACTTCACCTCTAGCTTGTTAATTTTATCTGTTCTTGAAGTAACATGCTGAATTGCATCTTTCTGAGGGTTGACACGAGGGGGCATTTTAAGCTGCAAAAAATAAAATCATAGACTGTAGTTACATGATCACGTTATAATTTGCGTTCACATTTTAGAATCATTGCAACATAAGTTTATTCATTTAAAAGTTTGCCTTTAAAGGCTACCATACCAGGTCACACAATTACAAGAAGCAAAAACTTGATAATGACATAAGATGTAGCCGGTCTGTGCCTAAAGTAATTTGATGTTATTCACCCAGTTTAACTTTCCATAATAGTTGAGCAGGTGTAGCTTTTTGACACGTGTCTCCATCCGGCACGTGTTTAAACAGTTCAGAATACAAATTCAGGTTCTGTGTCATTGGACTGTTGTCATTAAACTTTCTAATGAACACAAATTAACAATAAACAGTAGCCACGTTTACATGCGCCAAATTTCCTCTATCGGATTAAAATCTTGATTGATTGGAAATTAAAAATCTTTGTTTAAATGGACACAAACTGAAATGATCTGATCATGCCGTGAGTACATATGCACCAAGTTAAACAAAAAAGTCCTGGTGCTGAGAGGTTTGGTAGTTCACCTGTGGCTCCAATCACTATTTTTGTTCTAAAAAATTATTAGGTAATAGTTTCATATTCAAATAAGCAACTGTAGCTCAAAAAAGCAAAGAACTAAAAAAATAAAAAAAGGAGAGATCAAGGTTAGTGGTGACTTGTGCTATTTTTGGAACTTGCTCGCAGGCACCACGGTCGTGACCCCTGCTCGATGTTAGTCATATGGGCGACGGTGGCACAGGAGTTAAGTACTCGCCTCGTGAGGTTCGAGCCCCGCTCAATCTGTCGCTGTCTTTGTGTCCTTGGGCAAGACACTTAACCCACATTGCCTGCTAGTGGTGGTCAGAGGGGCCGGTGGCGCCAGTGCTCGGCAGCCTCGCCTCTGTCAGTGCGCCTCAGGGCAGCTGTGGCTACATCGTAGCTCATCCCCACCAGTGTATGAGTGTGTGTGTGACTGATTGTGTTGTAAAGTGCCTTGAGAGGTTCCAGGACTCTAAAAGGTGCTACATCAAATACAGGCCAAGGATTTTTTTGTTTGCCCATTGACCGCTGGAGATAGGCACCAGGCCCCCCCACCCCTCGCAACCCTGCGTGGACAAGCAGGTTCAGAAAATGGATGGATGGACATAATCTGCCGATTTCAGAAGCATTAATGTCAGTATATTAGTATCTGCAAATATCGGTTATTGGCCATAACAGTGACATTAATATATGATATCGGCCCAAAAATTTCATATCGTTGCATCGGTATTCTATAGACATTGATTACGCACAAGCAGGTGACCTGCTCAGGTTTACACAGAGACTAAGGAAGGAGTGCATTTGGGTCACGGCAGGTGAAATCGTTATATTTTAAGTGCAATTGTATACTTGTAATGTTAATATTACTGGACACTCTGGTCAGCTTCTTTAGACTAAATATGAATTAAAATGAAGTTTGATTTATTATTATTATTATTATTTGAGAAATGAACATGAAGAGGGGAGAAACGATCACCGGTATTTTTAAACTCGTTGGTCAAACTGACAACAAAACTGTCTAGAGCAACCTCTGAATGTAGGAATTGTTTCTGTACCCGCATCCATTGACTTATATTGATATTAATTTGTTTAATTAAAGCCCATCTAGAAATTAAAACCTGGCGCAGTGCCTGAGCTTGTGGAGTGATGTTTCTGGACGGCAACTTTTACTTTTACTGTATTAAAAATATGTTCAATTAGTGCTGCACTTACTCCATATATTTTTGCCAGTACATAAGCGCCCCACAGGCCGAAAAACAGCAGCGGAACGTTCTGTGCCTGGCAAAATGACGAACAGCCTTGAGATTTCTAAGTCAAAAAATAAACTGTCAAATACGGAAAATATCCGGTTAACGTGACTCTGAGCTATATCATCATGCAACGCTACAGCACCTGATACATCACATGACAAGGACCATACTTATCCAGAATTTTACATCTGATACGTTTCTAAATTTTCCTGACACAAAGAGTTTTCCTTCTTAAAGGTTACAACGACAACCATAATAAATTATCCAAGTTTTTATATGCTTTCAAATATGTTAGCTGCGTGTAGGAAAAAGTTATATTTACATGATGCTCAGATACGTTAGAGTGATGAACTAACTAGTTAAAACTTCAAAAGAATCAATAAACTGCTTGTCCTAACACTATCAGAAGGCCATTTAACACTTACACAATATAAAACCTGGAAGAGTATTTAATTTGCCCGAATTAGCCACGAGTGTGGTAGCAGAGCTAGCTTGAGCACATGGTGTATTAAGCAGTGCTTTACTTGAAAATAACAAAGTTTTTGTTTTATATGTCTAAAAAAATAACCACTTACCTGACACTCTTTGAATCCCTGCTGCTTAATCTTCAACCTTTTTATCGACCCGTTTGAGACCAATGTTCGACACGCACCGAGTCAAATAATCAAGTCGCTTACTGGTACCTAACCACAACTTCCTGTAGTTTCACAATAAAAGCACATATAAGGAAGTTAAAGTCAAATCATCCGTTTTCATGTTTTGTATCATATACCCATCACATAAAGGCAACTCCTAGATGGGTCAACATTGGATCTTATTTGGATCAAATCTAATCAGATCCAAATAAGATCCATTTGCTATTTTTAACAGAGCAAGAAATGATTGTCTTGGCACTCCTATCTAATGTTTTTTCTGCTCCTCATGAACAGCTGTTAAATAGAAAGGTCATAAACTATACTGAATTTGAAAAGATCTGCATCCATTGTCAGCAATTTAACTAACGCTGATTATGTTAAATTTTTCATTTATTTCCCAGTGTTATACTTGTTGCACTAGAAAGTGACATGCATGAAAAAAATGTTTTTCTAGCTCATAGGAAGACAAAGGATTCATTCAAATATTGTTTTGAAAATCATGGATGGCACCAGGCAGTAGCTAAGGTTTGATAAAGCAATGGCAAGACTATAGGCCAAGCAACAGCTGAGCAACCCTGACTGATGTCCTGGCCTACCCTACCCACCACACTCCCCCAGCATTAAACCCCCACCTGCCAACTCTTCACACCGCACTGAGGGAAAGCACATTTCCCAACTGCTTACTTAGCAACTGTACAACACGTACAAGTTGAGATAATATAGATGTCCTCCAAAATAGAACTTCAGAGGCTAATCTTTATGGAGCTTTTTGAATTAGTACAAATGATGGGGAAAATCTCCAGTGTTATTTAAACAAAAAGGAAAGAAAGCAATCTTTTATGCAGCACCTCTCAAAATAAAAATCACTAGGTGCTTCACAACAACGAAACAAAAAATTAAGTATAAAAAATATTTCAATAAATGATAAAAAATATGTTTTAAATGAGAAATAATAAAATTTGTGATAACAATGTAAGAAAAGAGAGAGAGGAAATGTATAGGAAAGAGGGAAATCAGTGGATCCCGGGAAAGGCAGAATAAGAGCAAAATAAGGAGACGAAGGTCACGCAAAAGCCAACTTGAACAAGTTTTGCTGTTTAAAAAAAGACCACTGAGAACGCTGATCTCAGGTTCAGGGGAAGAGA